CCTTCCTTCCATCGAGATGATAAGCGTCATTTTCAATTTGAAAGCCAGAAATTTCTCTATAAATATTTATTGCTCTTTAAGCCTCCCCTGGATCTTTGGATCTTTGCTGGCGCCGTCCTGGGACTGAGGAGGAGGTGGGGGAGCTGCGGCCAGGTGAGCTCGTAGGGAGAAGCCCAGGTAGGGTTTGCCCCAACCCCCCACCCCTCTTCTCGGCTCTGGGCAGCAGAGGGCAGGAGGGGGAACGGTCCTGGCTGGTTCTTGGGTTGGGTGGTACAGCTGGTCCAACAGGGTTTGTTTTACGAACGGCCGGAAGTTACAGGGGCCCTGAAAAAAGGGACTTTCGGCCATTTTTCCCGCTTGTAGCGTCTCCATGGTTACGTGGCCCATATTGGTGACAGCTGCCGGTCCCCCTTTTCTCCCTTCGGATCAATGGGGAAAGGTTCTCTTAACCATTGCGATTGTAACACGAGACAAAATTCACTTAGCCACAGAAAGTTGGGCCTCCGTTGTGGTTGTAAGTCAGGGAGGGGTGGGGAGGGCTACCTGTAATCATGTCACCTGCCTTGAGCAAGCGGTTGGACGAGAGTAACCGTTGATAAAATTTCGGTGGGCTGCAGAGAAGTCTCACCCCCAGAGAACACCCCCCCCCCCAAAAAGCAATTAATCCAGGCTGCGTAGAAACACAAGGCTGCGCTGTCCACATGGCCCGCGGGAACCCTCCCCGCCCACTCACTCCTTACCCGGCAAAGTTGCCCGCTAAATTGCTATTTTGGGGACCATCCGCTGTTCTGCTATGTTGGGAGATTTAGATTAGCTAGGAAGCAGGAAATGGTTGGATTTCTTGCTTTCTAGCTAGTTTTTAGATCTTTGGCTCTGCTTTTAAGCACAGCCGAACCTCCCTTAGGTCCTATTATTCAGTGCAGACTCCCGGCAAGCAAACTTTATGCGACAGGCTCAGGTAGCCGATGGCAGATAGATTGATCTCTGAATGATTCTGTGAGCAACTCAATCTGCCTGCCTGCTTTGACTGATTTGGGGTAAAAGTTGTTCTTCTTTTTTACAAAAAAAAATCAATATTTACATACAAGGTGTGTCGTGAATTAATTTTGTGAGTTTGCCCTGCTAGCACATTTTGTGAGTTTGCTTGCTAGCAAATTTTATGTGACAGGCTGAGCTAGCTGACGGCGGATAGATCGATCTCCGAATGAATCTGTGATTCTGTGAGCAACACAATCTGCCTGACTGCTTTGCCTGATTTGGGGTAAAAATTGCTTGTTTTTCAATAAAAAAAATTCCATATTTATATCAATATTTATAATATTTGCATACAAACCATGCCCAGCCAGTCACATGACCATGAAGCCACACCCACAAATTAGGCCACGCCCACAGAACCGGTTAGTGGTCCCTGGGATTTAAAACGATGGTTTTGGTAGGTCCCTGAGGTCCCAAAGCTTGGCGACCCCTGGACTAGAGGACCTTCAAGGGCCCTTCCAGCCCTGGGATCCTGGGCGGCTCTTCTCCTCCGTCGGGGCTGCTCCCTCCAATTCCTTTCAGTGCCCAGGGGAGCCTGAGGCTCAGGTGCCCCAATTCCAATCCTGCCTCTGGAGCAGAGGGGAGGGAGGAAAGGGGCGAGGGAGGCCAAGCCCCAGGAAGGGACGGGAAGGACGAAGGTGCCCCCCCCCCCAATGACAAACAAATCGGCCTCTGGTTTGTGGCTTTTCCTGCGGCCTTTTGCAAGCTCTGCCCTGGCCCTGGTGGGCATCCAGCCTGTCCGGAGGGCCCTTTGGCGGCCATTTTATCCAGGAGACCAAATGGGGGAGGGAGGGAGGAGGGGCCGTCCCCAGGAGCACCAATTCCCCCCCCCACCCACTGAAGAGGGCCATTCTCACCCTCAGGGGGGCCTTGGGGCCCACCCGGCCCTGGTGGTTGTGCTGAAGATTTCGGGGAAGGGACCGTATAACGCAGAGGTCTCAAACACAATTTACCTGGGGGCCGCTGGAGGCAGAGTCTGGGTGAGGCTGGGCCGCATAATATTATATTTTATATTATACACTAATATTCTACTTTTGTATCACAGTGGGGGCCACAGGATATCGTCCTGCAGGCCGCAATTGGCCTGTGGCCCGCGAGAATGAGACCTGGTAATAATGGGTGAAGGTGTGTAAACGCAGGCAGGGAGTCAACGAGGCGGCCATTTT